TTGTGATGGACTTGGATTACCTTCGAGAGATGCCGTAGAGTGTTAGAGGTTAGTCTATCCCAATGGGGGGTGAGATGGTTGCCTAATGCTCGTAGTGGATCGTTGTTGTGCTCGCGATCACTATTGTTCACATATACACCGAGGAAAAGGGTTAGTATACTAGACACCTTGGGAGGATTTCGTCAATGCCGTAGGAGACGGTACACGCCCTTCCTAAAGAGATTTGTGATTGTTGGTTGGAATTGGTGGACTAGGCATGATCGTTAGGTAGATTCACGAGAAGCAATCAACATACATGGTACGGGGATGAACCAAAAATACATGGAATCGGGAGTTGGGTCGTTCTTGCCGATGCATTGGTATGGGACAATGCTTAGGGAGAAGCCCTTCTTAAATAGCTTAAATTAGAATTTTGTTTATCGATGCTAAACTCACTTTATTCTTTTAACTGATTATTGCTATTGTTTAAACTTGAGATCTCTTTTAAAATGTCACTGTTTTCATTCCAAACCTATATATATGTTAGTTGTGAAATGAGACCGACCGTTTGCTATGTTTTTCAAACCTTGTTTGAGTTGAGAGGATTTTGCTACAGAGCTTCGTGCTCACCCCCTACAAATAAAATTTTTTCAGATTTCACACTTGAGGAGGAGTTAGGAGCCGAGGAGCCCACCCATTGGAAGACTCCGCTTGACGGGGATGTGAATCCCGAGGTGGACGCTTAGAGCGACACTTTTATTTTGTTCTAGACTAGATTATGCTTAAAATATCCTTTTGAACTCTAGTTCATTTCTGTTATTTTCGCTGCGTTATATTATTACATTTTGGAGATGTAAAGGCCAAGATTAGACTTATTAATTTGGGATGATAGTGTGGATATGACATATGATGAATGCAAGTTTATTTTATGATGGAAAAATGGACCCGGTGTGGTCAATAGTTATGCATATGTGGACCCGGTGTGGTCAATTGTAATATAATTGTACAGGTTGTGTTTTGGGTAGAGCTCCCCGTACAAAGGAGACTCTGCCCAAATTTTGTTAAAATATGAATGGTTGATGAATGAAACTTTCGTCGTGATGAATTTTACTTAATGCTCTCATACGGTAAATGGTTTTTAGAATGTAATGTCACCCACGGGGGGTTTTGGGGCGTTACAATCAAATAAAAAAGTAAACTTTTGCTACCATAAAATTATCTAATTTTAGTTGCCCCATATAATGAATTTTAGTTGCACCATGTAATGAATTTTAGTTGCCCCAAGGTTTTCAATGATTAAATAAAACATAAACCATTAGCAAAGACAAGAAATAAAGCATGAGACAAGCGGAGCACTTGGAAAAACAGAATGTCACTCAATTAAATAAACATAAATAATCAGAAAATATAACAAGTAGATTTGGTCCCTAGTGCATTAAACTTCAATAAATGTACCAAAAATAAACCTTTCATTTTTCATTGCTGCCGGTGCACCCACTTTTTATGCCAATAAATATACACAGTTGTAGCTCAAACCAACCGTTGCACTTATTTTTTATGCCAATAAATATACACAATTGTTATTCAAGTATGAATATAAAGAATCAAGGAAATTTAAAGATTTATATAATAATACACACACACACACATATATATAGATAAATTAAATGAAAAAAGGGTAGTATAGACAATAATAGTTGTATTAAGATTATTATAGTGAAACAAAAGTTTTTCACTTTTGTTGATATTTTATAGTAGTATAGATTTTTGCCTATTAATAGAGCCCACCTTCATATTCTCGCCTAAGACCTCTGAATTTGTTGGGCTGCCCCTGGGTGCACCCACTTTTTTATGCTAATAAATATACACAATTGTAGCTCAAATCAACCGATGCACCCAACTTTTTATGCCAATAAATATACACAGTTGTTATTCAAGTATGAATATGAAGAATCAAAGTATTTAAAGATTTATATAATAATACACACACACACACACATAAATTAAATGAAAAAAAGGATAGTATAGACTTTAGTAGTTGTATTAAGGTTATTATAGTCAAACAAAAGTTTTTCACTTTTGTTGACATGTTATAGTAGTATAGATAGATATGACGGTGGCGGTGGCAGTGGCATTATGTAAATAAAAATAGATGCGTATTAATGTTACTTAATTACTTTTGAAATATAGAAGAGATTGGTGAACCACATACTGTTGTATATAAATTTCTATATAAAGTTTTGTTTTTATAGCATTAATATTGCCGAAATTGCAAAGGGGACTGCAATTTCATCACACTCACTTAACTATATTCCTAAAGTATTGTTTTGATGCTGTGCTGAATATGCTGCTTGCTTGGGCTAATGGGTTTTTTTCCCACTTTCTATCTTGATATATACTGCCACTATGGCTATGCCACATCATGTCTAGAATAATTTATTATTATTGCTAATGCCATGGTGAAATCACCATGCCACTATAGCTAATGCCGCAAAATATTATTAGTTACGTTTATTATTAATGTCATTGAAACCTCCATTAGAAAAATTACTGACGCATAATTAAACACCACAAAAATTAAAATGACGTTTATTAAACGCTGAAATAACGCTTATTTAATCCATGACTTCCTTTTAAAATTTCTGTGACAGGAGCTATTTTACGGCATTTATTTAAACGCCAGTAATTATTATTTTTGGATCAACTGGTTTCCACCAATTATTTAACACCGGTAATGATAATTTAAAAAAAAAAAATCAACACTTTATTTCATATCTCAAACATATTATTTAATTCTGCCAGTACCAAAATTTATATTTTTGAGAGTCAAAAAACATTGATTCTGCACTCACCAAGTTATTGTCATTTCACAAGTGATCAAAGAATGAGTATCTAATTGCGTCTCAACTCTCAAGAGTAATGTAACAAAAATTAAAGAAGAAAGCAAAATAGCACAAACAAAAATAAAAAAAAAACAGAACAAGTTTCTCTTATGGGCTCTTACAGGCATAGATCAACAATGAGAATTCAACTTTCTCTGGCTCTGTCTGCATCACCTGCTCTTCCCACCACCACCTGCTATCCATTCCACTTCTTGTCCTGAACATGAACATTCCACTTCTCTCCCTCGTTGAACAATGACTTCTTGTCCTTCGTTGAATTCTTAATTGTATGCTCCTCCGTCAATATTATAGATTCTAATAACTTTGTTTTACTGTGTCAACAATGATATAAAACATCTAGCATGATTAAAATTTCTATTTTCCATTATCGCACCAACCATTATACGGCTGGGTTAAGTAAAGTAATTTCATGTTTATGGTACAAAACTTGACAGTAGATTGAGACATATTCACCTTCCCCAACTTCCCGGCTCGGCCCACCAAAAAAAAAAAAAACAAAACAAAAAAAAAAGAAGAAAAATCTGTTGGTGACGAAAAGTAAAGATTCAATTATACCATCATAATGCCTGTGGTGGTGAGATTACTAAAATCATATACAGGCAGTGCCACAAGAATAGCAGCAACAGAAAGAACGCCAGAGGATAAAATACCAAGATAAGAGAGAACCTCAGCAAACTTGATATTCCAATAACTCATGATGGGAAGCAGTGCAATCAAGACACAGAACAGTGATGAACACCATTATCAAGAATTGCTTTTTCTAAGACTTACAAGATGCTCACACTAAAACCCAAGTCTTAAGGAAAGGAAACAAGAATAAATGAATAGCAAGATATAACTGACTGGACAGGTATCATATAACACTTAATAAACTCAAATCAACTCAATAAATAAAAACTTATCTCTATAATGCTTTGATTAGATCCACAAATCCTTCTTGTCATTTGGCACTACCTAGGAGATCATCCTCCAATAAAATAGCAAGACAGACTTTCCCTCATCTGGGCCTTAGCAATCAAGCAAAGAGAGATAAGCTTTTTACTTGGACCAACTTGTAACATTGTCCAAGTCCAAAGAAAAAAGAAGCTCCACATGCCAAAGCTTGGCATAGGCCTCTCGTGACTCGAATTTATTTTTTTTCTTGTCCAATTCTTAATATGGATGTAGCAACTCATTTGCTCACCAACCATGTTGGTCAGCACTCAAATAGTAAAGTTTCTCTAAGAAAATCAACCAACCACAAGATCACAAACTAGAGAAAGCCAGACTAAATGACTAAAATTAGAAATCAGACATGCTTTCAAGTTATGGACACCGACTGTTTTCCTGATTAGCCAGTTACTATAAATTTAGAGCATCTCCTTCACCACGAACGGCTGTCCCCAATAACTAAATAATCACTATAGTAACCCAAGAAAGAGGATTCTCATATAGTCAAAGATGGGAATGCAAATAACTAGATTTTATCAACCTGACTGAAAGAATGAAAGTGTCCATGTTGTCTATATTCTACGCACAGAACACAGTTAGGAATCTCCACCTCTAACAAGATTCAATATTGTATCATCTTTCTTCTTCTGGTAGTTCAATAAATCAAGTTAACTATATTAGTAAACATTAAATGCCGAACAGAACTTGATAACACACAAAATACAAGAATGGAATATGCAAAGAATAACATCTCACCACATTGGGGTTTGGGACAGACCTTTGGCGCATTGTGGCTGACAATTGGACAACTATAAGCAAACTGATTCACCCAATGGCTACAGTTCAACTGCTCTGTATGCTGCATACAGCCTACATTAGTGATTCAATTGCATATAGGCTATAGCCTAATTTCCTTGCATGCCACAACAGAGAGTTAAAATATGGGAATGCATAAAACATCTCACTGAAACATGTATAAGGTGAGATGGAAACTGCCTGTTTTTGCTTTTGCCAAAGATGGCTGTACAACAGCATGCATGGTGAGAAGTCAGTCACCATCCAAGACAGCAAGGTTTGCAAAAAAATCTGCCATACAGTTTGTTTCCCTATAAACAAGAACCAAATTGAATTTCAGTCTGCTCAAAATTTCCAAAATTTGCCTCAGCAAAGTCCAGTACTTCCAGGCTCTCAAATGTCCTCATGGGACTCCACCTTCAAGTCTCGAAGCAGTGGAATAACATGCTGTGTAGCTGAACCATATGTCCACAGCATCTAGAAATCCTTCAACACGTATATAAAATTATGCCATTAACATTTAAAGGTATAACTAACATGGAAAAAAAAAACTTTTAGGGTAAACCAAAACTCAGTAAAGGTCCAATTTGAGCTGTACATGAGATTCCCAATATCTCTTTCCTATTGGCAAGCTCTGCATCATCCCTTATTAAACACAATCCTGACAAATTGAACTCCAATTCGTAAATGTATGTAGCCAATCAAAAACGTCAAAGAACAAGACAGCAATTACTTGAAATCCAACCTTGAACTACCTGCTCGGTAGGGTGAAATAATATATCTTTTCTTATTTGTAAACAAGGGCAAAGGTAAACCTGATGTCATCACACTGGCAGTACACCCAGCACTGGCAGACATCGCAACAAACCATAGGTGTAGATTCGGAATCTCTGTAAACCTGCAGAATTTGAGCCAAATCGATTGTCAACTTCTTTTGCAAAGACATTCATTACAATATTATCAAATTTTACACAGATAGATGATCACTCAATGATCCACTTTTTATTGAGCTAGAGTTTTCAGACAGTTAAAGTTTTACACTGCATTATTGGGGGGGCCATTCATCTTTAAAACACCATCAACAGGAGGAGACCAACCAATCCATAAGCACCTCACTTGAATCCTCTCATGGGACTCTACCTTAAAGTCCCTCAAAATCTGCTGTCCAGCCAAAACTTCTGGAGCCTTAGGCTTAGCCCCAAAGGACTGCAATCTGAGCACAGTGCATTAATGTATGTAGCCAGTCCCTCACTCTGTTTTTTCCACATTATTGCAGGATCCCTCTGGTATGAGGAGAATCCTATGCGATGAGAAGCTAAAAGAACTCTTTGATGTTGACACCTTCCATGGACTTACTGTTTCAAAACTATTAACCACTCATTTCATAAAAACAGAACAGTGAGTTGCTGGTGCATTGTTATCGTGACTAAATATAACCATCAAATTCTCAATTATGCAAATAAAACACTAATAAATTGAATTTTCCACAACCACAAGTCTCGACCTTAGCTCTCAAGCAGTAATCCAGCATTAGAACCGTTAGATTAATAAATTATGCCCATAATCAAACAAACATCCAATCAAAATTGCAAAAGACGAAGAATCAAGATACGATGAATTCTTCAATCAAGGAATTAACCAGTCAATTAATTATACAGTTTCAAATTAAGATATAGTTTACGTACCACTGTTTTGATGACAGAAAGAAGACAATCAGAAATGCGTGCTCAGAGATTAGTTCACGGAATCTTCTAGAAAAGACAACCACAACAAATCCATAAAGAGAGGAACGGTGACGAGTCGATGGAGAGAGGAGTCGAAGAAGAGAGAGGGGCACGAATAAATTGAGGAAAAAGATTTACGTTTATGTTGGGGAGAGAAAAAAAAAAGTTTTTTATTATTTTAAAGGGTTAATTGTCGTTGTGGTTTCCAAAATATTCTTTTTGTCTTATTTTGGTCCCTAATCTTTTAATTGCATCAAGTTGGTCCCTCATGTATTACATATGCACTTACCTCATTCCCGCCGTTGACGCCGTCCCCAAAGCTGACGGTTCATAGTTATGTGCCATCCGCATGACCCTGGTGAGGGGCTTATATGACATTTACCCTCAAATAGCCATGCAACTGTTTTCCTTCTACAGTAGCACCAACATCACTACGAGCATTGAGCACCCCAACAAGAGTGAATTCACTAGGCCTCATCCCAGAAAAATGCATATCCGAGAACATTTTCAATGCCTTCTCACCATCGCCACTTTGTGTATACCCAATGATCATTGCAGACCACGTAATAGAGTTCTTCTCACTCGAAAGTTCAAACATTTGCAACGCGTTATCTAAGCTTCCACACTTTGCATACAAGGTAACGACAACATTTCCAACTGATACAACTGAAAACAACCCATTTTTCACAGCAAGACAATGAATTTGCTTACCAATATCAATAAATTTTGGCAAGGTAAAAGCACTAAGAACACTAGTTACCACAAACTCATTCACATCTTCCTTTTCCTCCCACGTCATCATCCTAAAAACCTCCAAAGTATAACCAGCAAATCGATGCATAGCATACCCAGAAATCATCGTAGCCCAAGAAACCGAATTTCTCTCGGGCATTATATCAAACACTTTCCGCGCATCAACAACAAGGCCACATTTGCAACACGTGTTTAACAAAGAACTATTCACAAATACATCGGAACATCAAGTTGTTTTGATGGCAAGTGAATGAGCTTGCTGGCCACAAAATGGGTCCATCAAAATTGACGCTGCAGAAAAAAATCCGGCGAAAGTGTGGGCATCAGGGAAAGTATTCTCTTTTCTCATAAGCTTGAACAGTTTCATGACTGAGGATGAAGATTTGGGAGTCCCCAGCTGAGAGTAGCCATTGATGAGGCCGTTCCATGAGACTATGTCTTTAACTTCGATTTCTTCGAATACAAGGTGGGCTTCGGTTAAGTGGTGGGACTTGGCGTAGAAGTTGACGACGCTATTGAAGATGTATATGCAAGACGAAGATCCGGTCTTGATGATTTGAGCGTGGAGTGACTTGCCGTTTGGGAGGTTTTTCTGGTGGGTGTTTTGGAGGAGTTTGGCAAAGAAGGAACGAGTGGCTAGTGTCATCAACTCTACGAGTCCTTAGTTTCGGAGTTCATGAACGAGTCACAGCCAAGTCACCTACATCCAAAATCCATAGTGCACCCAAGTCACCTGCATCCCATCCGGTATTGTGGTAAGCTATTAAGGAAATTTGGAGGTTGGTCCATTTTTTAAAATTTATTTGGACTTAAGTCCACTCAAAAAATTTATTTGAGAATAAGTTTATTTTGATCTCCATTGTCAAAACTACCCTCAATAGTTATATTTAATTAACATAAATTTAAAAACTAAAAACTCTTAAATTTTAAGAGTTTTATTAACATTAAAATTCTTTTTCTCGTATATATCTATATACATTTATAGATTATGACTATTTCTCTTATATATATCAGAGTCATTTTATATGACAGTTTAAATTTATTATTGATGTATATGTAGATCTATAAGTTATATGTTTTCATAGTAGTATTATGTTCTTCATTTTTGATTAGTGATTCTGTTATATAGTAATTTATCTATATTTTTTTTATTTAACTTTCATGATTCTTCATCCAAGTTGCATAGGAACTTTGGCTTGTTACCCAGTGTTGGAGTTTGACCCAAATCTTCAAAGTGTATTATTCCTTATTTATTTGATATTACTTTACAATCAGCATTTTAATGAGTTTAAGAATTTTTACTCATAAAGTATGCTAGTTAGCTTTCATGTAGTTTAATTAAAAGTATAATAGGATTGATGTTATTAGGATTTTAATAGGGTTAGATCTCTTTGATATTTAAAGTCTTTCCTTACAATTGCAATGAGTATGACAGAAGCTTAGACAAGCAGAATAGTTTTTTTTTTTTTTTTTGTTTCGGACGTTGGCTTCAGCTGCTTTTCCGTGTCCTTTGCTTCCTTTTTTTTTTTCTTTTGCTTGATATTTTATCGATTTCTTGTTTTATTTTTTTTGAATCTTTGATTAAATTTTTTTAATTAAACCAAATAAAATTAAGTCTTATGTCCCAATCATTTATGGTTGACCATTTGAGTCCGCTTTCACCATTTTATTTCGATCATGCACTATACACTTATTTTAATTAAATATTTGCATATCTTTTCTTATTATTTTGTTCAATGTTAATTTAGGTATATCCTTATTTCTAGTACCATTAAGAGAGATTATCTAACTTTTTCGAATTGGGGCCTCTATTGAACATGACCAAACCATTTTAATCTATTTTCTCTAACTTATCCTCAATTGGAACAACTCCTACCATTTTTCTAATGCGGTCATTTCTTATTCTATCTTCTCTAATTTTTTCAGACATCCACCTTAACATTCTTATTTCTGCTATACTCATTTTGTCACTATGTTGTTTTCTAGTTGTCCAATATTCTGTCACATACAACATTACTGTCCTTATAGTTGTTCGATAAAACCTATCTTTTAATTTTATTGGTATCCTCCTATCACATAATATGTCAGAGACTTTCCTCCACTTAAGTCAACCGGCGTTGATTCTATGAGTCTCATCATCTCCAATCTCTCCATCATTTTTAATGATTGATCCTGAATATCTAAATTGTTTACTCGTTGGTATTTTTTGATTTTCAATCATAACTTTTTCAAGATCATTTGCTTCTTTTATTACTAAAATTATATTGCATATATTCAGTCTTACTGTTACTTATTTTAAACTCTTTTGACTTGAGTGTCTCTCTCTAAAATTTTAATTTATTGTTAATCCCCCTTCGAGTGTCATCTATTAATATAATATCATCTACAAATAACATACACTATGGGAAATCATCATGAATGTGCCTAGTGAGTTCATCCATAATTAGTGTGAATAAGTATGGACTTAGTGCCGATCTTTGGTGTAATCCCACCATAATTGAAAATTCTTTACTTTCTCCCACAAAAGACTTAATTGTAGTCATAACCCCTTCATACATGTCATTTATCACCTTAATATACTTATTCGTCACTCATTTTCTCTCAAGCACCCTCCATATTATATTTCTAGGTACTTTATCGTACGCCTTTTCTAGATTCATAAATAACATATGAAAATTTTTCTTCTTCTCTCTATACTTTTCTATGAGTGTCCTTAATAAATATATAGCCTCCATATATGATCTACCCGGCATAAACCCAAACTAATTTTCTGACACTATAGTCTCAACTCTTGGGCACCGTTCAATAACCCTTTCCCATAATTTTATGGTATGACTCATCAATTTTATCTCTCTATAATTATTACAATTTTGAATATCTCATTTATTTTTATAGAGAGGTACTAAAATACTCTTTCTTCATTCATCGGACATTTTCTAGTAGCAATAATTCTATTGAATTTCGTTAACCGCGACACCCCCTCATTCTCTAAGCACTACTAAACCTCAATGGGAATCTCATTCGATCCTAAAGCCTTGCATAATTTCGTTTTCTTCAATGCAAACTCTACCTCAAAATTCTATATTCTACAAAAAAAAGTTTCATGGATCCTACCATTTTTTATCTCTTCTAGGTTTCCTAAATGATTTTCGTTTAATAGTTTTTCAAAATAGTCTTTTCATTGATCATTTATTTCCTGATCTTTAACTAAAATCTTTGAATCATTACCCTTGATGCACTTAACTTGGTTAAAGTCTCTTGTTTTCCTTTCCCTAATTTTAGCTAGATTGTTGATGTCTTTTTCTTCCTCTTTACTATCTAGTTTTTTGTACAACTCGTCGTAGGCTTTTAACTTAGCGTCTCTAACTATATTTTTAACCTTCTTCTTAGCTAATTTATATCTTTAGAATTTCTCTCTATTCCTATCATTTTTCCATCTCTTAAAGGATTATTTCTTTACTTTAACTACCTCTTGTACGTTGTCATTCCACCACCAAGTTTCTTTTCTCACAAGCCCTTTATCCTTTGACTCCCCAAGAATCTATCTCGAAAATTTTCTAATGTCTAGTATTAGAGCCATATTTCAGAGATGGCAAACAGGAACTAGTTTGTTCAATGCCCAATTGAAAAATATGACGGGAGGTCAAGTTTTCAACATTGTCTAACACATATGAAATTGTTTTTCATGGTCCTGGATTTTTCAGATATTGTGATAAACGGGTACACAGATCCCGGAGATTTAACAACTCACACAAAAGCTCAAAAGGATGAATTCAGAAGTAATCGGAAGAAAGACAACAGAGCATTAATGAACATCTATAGGGCAATTGATTCGTCAATGTATGACAAGATTGCTCATGTTTCGATGGCAAAGGCGGCCTAGGATGTCTTGATCAATTGTTATATTGGACAAGATAGAGTAAAAAAAGGTTCGGTTACAGACCCTATGCAGGCAATTCAATCTTCTTCAGATGAAAAAATCAGATAGTATATATAATTATTTTTCGCAGATGTTGATTATTGTCAATGAGATGAGAGCCAACGACGAGAATTTGAAGGATCTCCAGGTTATGGAGAAAATTCTTCAGACTTTGTCAAAGAGGTTCGAGTATATTGTCACAACAATTATGGAGTCAAATGATCTTGAAAGTGAGATTTGCTCGATGTTTTGGCGAATTTGTTGTTTGTTTGTTTTTTTCTTGTCCTATGTGTGTTTGAATATATGTGTATCAATGATCAGGTGCCAGTGAGAATACTGGTGGTGCTGAAAAGCACCGTTTTCGTGATCTCAAAGGTACATTTAACATCGATCCATTTAAACATTGCAGACTCAAACGAGTTTCAAGACAAAGAAAGATGAGTCCCATAATAAATCTCAATCAAATTAGAAGTATCAGCATTCAAAAAACCTAGATACATGGTCGAAAAGATCTGGTTGAAAAAAAATAAAAAGATAATAATTAGGGTGAAAAACGTAATAAATCCAAGATCAAGTGCTAAAATTTTGGAAAATTAGGACACTATAAGAGGAACTACCACAAATTAAGGAGACCCAATAATAAGAATTATCATGCTAAAATTACAAAGGGTAATGATGATAATTTAGAAGTTTTCTTTTTGGTTGATAGTGCAATGGATAATGTTTAAAAGAATAAGTGGTATTTTGATTCAAGTTGCAATAATCACATGTGTAGTTACAGAGAGATGTTCACCGTATTTGTAACGCCTTAAAACCTACCCTAGAAGGCATTATTATCTATAAACCATTCATACCATGAGAAAAATTAACAAAATCCATTAGTAAGAGGAATTCCATTTATCATCAATAAAAAACCTAAAGTATAATCCAAAACAACTATGCCAAATCTCAACAATTACATCCAAAAATCAAATATTATCTTGTAGTAGAATAAATTATTAAATTATTATCATTAACATTGTCTCATAATTAACCTCCAAAGCTAAACCATAACGAAAATAACTCTAAATGTTCACTTCGGGATCCACGTTCCCATCAGTCTGAGCTTCCTAGTTTACCTGCTCATTCAATCCGAGCTCTTCTTCTAGACTGCAATCTAAAAAATATGTTGTTTGTAAGAGTGAGTACTAAATTCTATAGAAAATTTTTTTCAAGTTCGAACAAGGTTTTGAAAATATATAAAACAGATTGGTCTCATTTTACAAAAATTATATATAACTTTTAAAATAAAATAGTGACAGTTCATCAGATCTTAAGTTTATGTAGTAACAATAAATTAAGTGAAGTAAAACTAACATTCAAACAACAAACTATTACCAATATTGTATCTCAGGTATTTAGTAAGACTTAACATGAATATACATATTGATAATATCCTAGTCCACACACACTACTCCTAATCCTCGCAAGGAAACAACACTTTAGGAAAGGTTTATATCAATGCATCAGCAGTGACAAATTCAACCTAGGAATAGTGTACTAGCACTCAGTCCCGATACCCGTGAGTGAATAGTAGTTTGGTCATTGCAAGACACCAATCTTACTACGACTGGTAGAAAACTTTCAAACACATTTAGAGCAAGAAACAAATCTACCCATTCTACGATACTCGATCAACGGTCACCCATGTTTATTAAAACATCCACACAAGAGATACTATATCAAAC